GAAAGTTATAGTACCACTACTCTTGTCCCTTCTTATTTATTTTTATTATGCATTGGTTTGGACGTTAGAACTGTTGTATGGTTGATATGTTCTTAGTTTTTAATAATTTATATTAAACAATCTTCAGATTAGCCTTTTTACCTTAAAGAAAATACAGATTTCTTGCTCTGGAAAGGTTTATCAGACCCATGAAGAAAGTACAGGCATACATGAATTTCTTTTATACTAGGAGCTGAACACAGGATGTTGTGATGGCTAGGTGAGTGCTCTGCCACTCAGCTACATCTCAAGTTCTTTTTGTTGTTCTGCTTTGAGACACAGTTCCCTAAGTTGCCAAGGCTCCTTCTGAGTACCTAGGATTATAGTTCCGTGCCATCATCCCTAGTTTGCTCGCTTGAAAATCTAATTTTGTCACTTTAAATTTTAGTTCCTTTTTTGTTCACTGTGCCTTTTATGTTTGTTTGTTTGTTTGGGTTTTTTTTTGTCTTTTTGAGACAAAAAACTGCTATGCAGTTCAGGCTGACCTTGAGCTCACTTTGTAGCCCAGGCTGGCCTCAAACTCACAACAATCTTCCTGCCTCAGCCTCCCAAGTGCTGGAATTACAGGCTTATAGGCGTGTGCCACCACGCCTGGCGCCTTTTATGTTTTAAAATGTTTGATTTATGAGAGTACATTTTATTTAGGTTTGTTTATTACTGATGGCTACTTTTTTATTACTATTTTCTTTCCAATTGCCTTTATTAATATATTTTATACATTTAACAGATCTGTTAATAAAGAGAAAAACTCAGTTAAAAAGGGTGCAAAAGACTTGAACAGATAAAAGGAGGGTAAGAGTATACCAACAAGCACACAAAAATGTGCTTAGCATCTTTAGTTATCAGGCAGATGAAAATTAATACCACAAGGCAGAATTGCATTCCAAGTACAATGGCTAAACTAAGACTGAGACCACCAAATATTGGTGAAAATGCGGATGTAAATCTTTGGAAATCCACTTGGCAAGTTTTGTTTTTGTTTTTCTGTTATTATGGGTTGAACGCAGGGTCCTTGCATTGAGTTACATCCCCAGCCCTATATCATTTTGGAGACAGAGTCTAAGTTATGAAATTGCCGCATAGAGTGCTGAAATTACTGGTGTGTGCCACTATGCCGAGTTTCATAGTTTACTTTTTCAGCAATCATTTTAATAGACAAAACTTGAAAATAACCTAAATGTCCATCAAAAGAAAATACCCCAGTTGTTGTATATGAACACTCTGATAAGAAATAATGAACTAGTGATGTATGCAGTAGTATGGGTGAATATTATAAGTGTTAGCCTGAATGGAACAAGTCAGATCAAGAGGTGTATAATGTATGATTCAGTTACATGAAAATCAAGAGCAGCACAAGTAATTTATGGTATAATTCGGAACAGCTGTTGCCCTACTGGGATGGGAAGGTGATTGAATAAGAGGCACAAGAAACTTTTGAGGTGCTGAAAATGTCCTGTATCTTGAAAATATATTCTCCAGATTCATCAGATGATAACATGTAAAATCTGTCAGTTTCACTGTATATAAACTGTACCTTAATTGTTAAAAACAGAGGAAATGATATGAGGGGTAAACACTGAACCAAAGGTGTTTTCCAACATAAGCACAATGCAATTACCAAACTCTAGAAATTTGACATTCATACACTTTTGTCTAGTATATAGTTCACATTCAGATAGCCCAGTGTCTTGAAATTTGCTGAGTAGGTCTTAAATGTCCTTGCTACCCCCTTTAATTATGTGTGTTGATGGATGTGTTAATTTGGTTGTATAGTTTTGACTGGTAGTCATTTCACAATGTATATGTATATCAAGGGCTGGGGATTTAGCTCAGCGGCACAGCACCTGCCTGGCAAGTGCAAGGTTGTGAGTTCGATTCCTGTACCGGAAAAAAAACCAAAACCAAAAAAAAAAAAAAAATGCTAAATATATGTATATCAAATCATTATCTTGAATATATACAATTTTTATTTGTCAAATACTACTGCAATATAGCTGGAGGAAAAAATAGTAAAGAATTCAGTGATAATCCCAGTACTGAAGTTTAGGTAGGAGGATCTCTATGAGTTTGAGGCTAGCCTGGGCTACATAGTGAGAGTCAGTCTCAAAAAGACGAAAGAAAGAGAAAAAAAAAAAAAGATTCAGTGAAAGACTGATTACCCTTTAATCAGATTCATTACCCTTTAATATTTGTTTAACGCTTCCTTATAGAAAACTTTCCCGAAAGAAAAGAGGAAATTAAGCTCTTGAGTCTGAGGCATACTTTTTGGTAACTAGTAACTTTCAGTAGCTCTATTTCCTTTTTGACAAACTTCCAAAGTTAATATATAGAAAGTTAGTAACATCAAACTCATAGAGTTTGTAAAGAAAGATTAATGATCTTTTAAAAGTGGAGAATTAGAATTGCTTTTCTTAAAAGTCTTTTTCTGTTTGCTTTTTACTGGAGATACAAATGGCTTTAGAAACCTTTCATAGTTACTTGAATTACATACAATACACAAGTAGTATTTCTGTTTGCCGTAGTGCTGTAATCAGCATTACAGATGTATTATAGATGTTAGCCTTCATCTGTGTAGGTAACTTGACCTTTTCACTGCATTAATACTGCAGTCCCTTTTGGTGAGTAGGTCTTACTTTAGTATAGTTGAATTGTTAATTTTCTCCTTTATAGGGTTAACACTTTTTATATCTTAGACATGATGCTCTTGGTTTACAGTTTGAACATTCCTAATGGCAGAAACCCCAAATCCAAGTTTTTAAACTGCCAATGTTGTGATACATGGGAAATTTTATATTTGACTTCAAGTGATGGTCACAGTTAAAATGCAGTAGCATTAAAAGTACTATGTGAATTATGCTGTGGGTATAAGTTGTATATAAAACATAAATTCCATGTTAGAGTTGGGTCCCATTTCCAAGATAGCTATATATACAAATAATCTAAAATCTATAAAACATCCAGAACCCAAAACACTTCTGGCCCAAGTATTTTGGATAAGGGATGCTCAGCCTGTATGCTGATTTTTGTTTTGTTTTGTTTGGCTTTTTTGAGACGGGGTCTTGCTATGCAGTTCAGGCTGGACTTGACCTCACTTTGTAGCCAAGGCTGGTCTTGAACTTGCAGTGATCCTCCTGCCTCAGCCTCCTGAGTGCTGGTATATGCTGTTTTTTAAAGAATTTCTTTACTGTCCCATTGGTAGTGTCTGAACCTTTTGATCCCATTGTCATTTTACCAGTATGATTTTTCCTTGCTGTTAGCCACAAGCAGAATTTTGGGGTCGAGGCTGCGAGTACACTAGATCTCTATTCATTAGTACATTGGCATCTTACTTTGGCATCTCCATTTTATTTTTATTTTTTATTTATTTATTTTGTTTGTTTTTTTTTCCGGTACCAGGAATCAAACTCACAACCTTGCACTTGCCAGGCAGGCGCTGTGCCACTGAGCTAAATCCCCAGCCCCAACTTTGGCATCTCTACATCTTACTTTGTCCATGAGAATCAGAGATTAGTTTCATCATTCTAACTATATACCAGAGCCAATAAGCATAATTTTAAGATAAATATTAAATTTTTTTTTAGCTTTTGCTGAGGAATTTATGCCTAACAGGGAAAATAGGAAAAGATGCCAACAACTGTTTTCTATTTTAAGACAGCATAATGTTTAAAAGGTAGAATCATGATTTTACCTACTCTTTAATATACATTTATTCCGTGACAGTATTTTGTCCTTTGTCCACGTTAGCTCTTCTCCTTTTTCTTCAGTTTTCAATATTCATTTATAATCTTTTCCTGGATTATTTTTCATTTTTATGTTTTGCATTGCTGGGGATTGAACCCAGGGCCTTGTGCATGCTAGCTAGGCAAGTGCTTCACCTCTGAGCTATATCCCCAGCCTACTTCCTAGATTTCAGGTGGGAGGCAGCTCCTGAGTTCTCTTTGAGAATAAGTAGAAGTCAGTTTTGAGACTGTTCAGGGAGCCTGTTAATGTAGCATAGAGCTTTCCTGTTCACCGCAGCAAGTTGTCACTGTTTGATAAGGTTTAGCTTATCTGTATTTTTCGCTAGACTTGTATTATAGACTAAGTCTTCTTCCTGTCTCCAGACTTCCTATGGTTGCTAGAAAAAAAAATTCCTAAACCTCAAGCTAATATCCTTTAGAGACTGGAAAACATTCTAAATCTCTGTTGCTTCACACATTGTCCTGTCATCTACCCTCTTGCTCTCTATCCTCTAGTGTGTCCAGTTTCCCACACCCCTCTGAAATCTGATTTCCTAAGTTTGTAATATTTTTTCACATTTGCTTGTTCTACTATCTAGAACTTCCTAATGTCTCCCCTATGGCCAGCCCGTCTCCCTAATAGTTGACTTCTTTTAAAATTCAGTTCTAGCTATACATCCCCTTGGGAAGCCTTGCGTCCTTAATCCTTATTCATGGACCCATGTCCCCTTTCCCTTTACTGAGTGAGTTAGATGGCTCCTTTTCTGGGCTGTTGTAGCTCTCTGTGTATACCTGCCATTTGCATTATAATTTATTTGATTTCTCCTTACTCAGATGAGTCCCTTGAGGTTAGAGCCTGATTCCTTCTCTCACCACCACAACCACCACCACCTGGAACTAGCTTCATTTAACAGTTTATACGAGGTGACCTATAAATGTTTAATGAATGATTGAAAGCAAAAGTATACCTAACTTTCTGAATGATGTGTTCATGAAAAGAACTTGCTGAGAAAGAGCTTAGTTAGAAAGTGAAAGGAACTGAGCAGTATTCTAAATCCCAGGCTTAGTAGTAAAGTACTTGGCTAGCATGTGTGAAGTCCTGGATTTTATCCCCAGTGCTGCAAAAACAAATGAAAGGACACTAAATCTCTCTTCCCTAAGAGCATACAAATTTAGGAATGACTACTGTGCTTATAGAATTTGTAGGGATTTGTTCACCTGAGTTGTAACTTTCTGTCACAGAAGGATGCCCTGCAGTGGTCTCGAAATACAGCTGCAGTAGAGGGAGAGGAGCCAGAGGATTCAGCTGATGTGGAGAGCTGTGGGTCTAATGAAGCCAGCACTGTGAGTGGTGAAAATGATGGTAAGTGCCTTAACAAGATGAGGGAAAACCTCCAAGCAGTCTCTAGGAAGTAATCTTTATTTCTTTCTCTTCCAGTGTCTCTTGATGAAACATCTTCAAATGCATCCTGTTCTACAGAATCTCAGAATCGATCCCTTTCCAGTCCCAGGGACAACTATAGAGCTTCCTCTCAGGTTAGGAAGGACAGTTTGTGACCTGGGAGAATGAATGAGGGCAGGCACAAGACAGGATTCTTTTTTCCTTTCACAGTTAGTTGGGGGCTTGTCTGAAAAATGGAGGAAATAAATTTAGTCTTTACCTTAGTACCATTTAAAAAGGTACCAGCTGGGTGTGGTGGCATGCATCTTTAATCCCAGCACCTGGGAGGCTGAAGCAGGAGGATTGCCTTGAGTTCAGGGCCAGCCTGGGCTACATAGTGAGTTCAGAGCTAACCAGAACTGCACAGTGAGACTCCGTCTCAAAAAAAAATGTGGACCATAGGAAAATGGAATGTTAGGTCCAAGAGCAGAATGATATTTTTTTCTTCCCTGGAAATTTCTGTTCATTCTTCTGATACACATATGAATGTCCAGGGAGGAGTACAGTACAGTGCACAGTGGTAAGAATATGAGCTTAGGAGTTGGCTGTTTGAATGGCGACCAGGGCTCTTACCAGCTCTGGCAAGTTCTTTATCTGTAAAATGAGGATAGCAATACCTTTTTTGCAGTTTAGAGTGCTGCTTGACAGTGGTGGGCATACAGTTCAGTACTGTTAGTGCTGTTTTCACTCTTGCTGGGCAGATTTGACTGTACATGAACTCTTCCACTAGAGGGGTAGGATAGGATGAAGAGGGAGTACTATTGTGGCTCTGCAGATGACACAGGCTCTTTTCTGTACCGTCTGGGAACACAGGCAAACAAACAAAAGAAAAAGGCTGGAGTGATGCTGCCTCGAGTTGTTCTGACTCCTCTGAAGGTAAACGGGGCCCACGTGGAATCTGCAGCAGGTATGTGTACTCTCATGCTTGTGGTGCACTTTCTCAGGTCCTGGGGACCTGGCCTCCCTCTATCAGTGTCTCTGACCAGCATTGTGATGCCAGTAGAGCTGTTGAGCCAGAGCCATGAAACCTGTCCCTGTGGAAGGCAGCACAATGTAATGGTGAAGCCTGCTGTAGGTTCTAGTGCTGGGCTCCGCCATGTGCCCTGCTCTTTGCCTCCAGGGGCAGTCATGAGCATTTGATGAAGGATTATGCCAGTGCTTTGTAAAAGGTGTAGTGTTATAAAAATGAAGGCAGTGGTTTGGCAGTCTTAAGTTGATATTTTAAAGCCAGACCATAAACTGGTAATTTCTGTCAGCCCAGGGCTGGGAGATGGAAGCACCCCATTATTGCTGGCAACATGTTAGGGAGAGCTGGGAGAAAAGTAAACTTGTCTGACAGCCATGGGCGCGGCATGTGATGCTTTTGACCAGTGGAATGCTGTGCCTTCAGGGTTCACGGGCCGCCACGCCGATGGCGAGAGTGGCAGCCCGTCAAGCAGCAGCAGCGGCTCTTTGGCCCTGGGCAGCGCTGCTATTCGTGGCCAGGCCGAGGTCGCCCGGGACCCTGCCCCGCTCCTGAGAGGCTTCCGGAAGCCGGCCACAGGTGAGTGGCTTGGCACTCATTTCTCTGCCTGTAAAGGGGGTCCCAGTAGGCCTAGGGAGAAGTTGATACCATTTACTCAAGCTGTAGTTTATTTTTACTTCTTGGGTAGCCCTCTATTTTTTGTTTTTACCTTGTGTTTGGTCATTTCGTGCCTGGATCTCTGCTAGGCCTTGAGTGAACTCCTGGTAGGCAGAGATGGTGCCACACTGCTCCTGGTCTATCCCTATATGGCAGTGGTGGTGAGCCTATGGCACATACACTCCAGCAGACTGTTCGTATCATTGAAAGCTCTAAAAAGTTCTCCATCACTGTTGTAGGGCATACAGTACCTACCTTGGAATATTGCTTTGTAACTGGTTGCATGAGTGAAAATTGCTTCTGAGCTTCTCTGTGAAGGATTCCCATATCTGTTTTCTTTGATAGCATCTTGTCATGCAGGCTTTCAACATCCAGTCTCTACCAGACTCTCCTTCCTTCTTATAACTGAGTTAGTGTATTGAGTGGAAATGCTGAATTCTGGGGATGCACACAAATTCAGTAATGCTGTTGAGCACCTCCTGCAGTGAGGTTATCTGCAGTGCTAATATTACTATTTGCTATTTCAGGATTTGTTTCTCATGACCCATGTGGGGCTACGTGAGTTTTTGTAAATGGGCCACATGAAACCATTAAGAAGACTAGCTTTGGATTCTGAAAATTAGAATAAACCATTCCCCAAGTGGGAACTAAGTATGCTGTCTTGCTAGGTTTTCTAAGTCATCAGCAGTGCCCAATCTAAAATCTAAAACAGGTCTCTCTTTGTAATGATTTTTTAAAAAAAGGAAACATTTGTTTGAGCTTTTGAGTGGTACTGACTTTGAACAACGTTTAGTACATTTCATCCCATAGATCATACCTCACAGAAGGCTTCTGCAGGTTTTTATGTAGTATTTTAACTAGATTTGCTTTTAGACAACTTCCAGCCTTTCTCCAGTTGGCCTCTGTGGAGCCTGTTCTGCAGCCATGGAGGGAAGCTCAGAACCTGCTCCTGCCTGGTTTTCTGTGGGAAAGGTGTCCTCTTCAGGTTGTGATGATATAGCGTGGTACAGAGTATGGGCAGCAAGCCTGAGTGTTTATTAGGTTCAGTGGCACCAACGGTGACCTGGAAAGAACAGTTGTAATATACCCATTGGGATGGATCGGACAACACACTGTGTACAGAACAAAGTTGTGGGTACATTGGGTGCTGCCACCAAAGTTTTCCCACCAGTTGGCATTTGCTTATTTGTTTTTGTTGTTTTGTTTAAATGAATTGAAAATCTATACCTTGCTTCAAAAATCACAGGTCAAATGAAGCGTAATAGAGGGGAAGAGATAGATTTTGAGACTCCTGGGTCTATTCTTGTGAACACCAACCTCCGGGCCCTGATAAACTCTAGGACCTTCCATGCCTTGCCATCACACTTCCAGCAGCAGCTCCTCTTCCTCCTGCCTGAAGTAGACAGACAGGTACAGATACCTAGCCTCCTCTTGGCCTCTATCTACATGGCCTCCTCTTCTAAGTTTTCTTATTTATTTTCACTTTTTTCCTCAAAACCTCTAGGTGGGAACAGATGGCCTGTTGCGCCTCAGCAGTAGTGCACTTAATAATGAGTTTTTCACCCATGCAGCTCAGAGCTGGCGGGAACGCCTGGCTGATGGTAAGTAGATTCTGTTTCAGATAGATTGAGATGTTTGTTCCTCCCACACGTAGCATGCATTTCTTCTGATGTGTAAAGCCCACATGCTCAATTTTTTACCAATCTCTCTGTGTCAAGGATTATTTAGCATAAGATAGGCTTTCTTCACAGTACTGATAAACGTAGTAGGTATTAATGTGCCACACAGCTCTGAAAAGGTAACAGAATATTTGGACTTCCACTCTCTTGGAAATCCATTGTGAATTTCACCCAATTCATGAAAAGTATACATACGTATTCCAATAGTTCTGGTATTGTCTGGAAGGTTGAAAGTACATTGTAATGTTGATCTATTAAATTCTACCATTCTCTTCTTGGGCATAGTCACTTCGAGTAAACGTTAGCTTCTTTTAATTTTATGTGGAAGCTACTCGGGGAATGTTACAAGAGGACCCCGAGACACCTATGGGATTAATGACTCCTGACAGGACTACATACAAACTCAGGGTTATAATTTATTACAGCAAAAGAACATAAAAAAGTCAGCAAAGAAGCAACAGGGGGTGAGATACAGGAAAAGCCAGATGCAAGCTTTCAAGGCCCTCTGTGGAAGCACACAGAACACATTTAATTCTTCCAGAAACAAATTGTGACACCAAAAGTAAATATTTACTAGGGGTGCTCATTAAAGGCTTGATGCCCAAGATTTTTATTTGGGCTAATCATATAGAAAGCTGCTGCCCAGATCCCAAAAAGGAAAGCATAAACTGGCATTAGCAGTCCAGGGACAATGAGCCACTCCTGTCAGTGTGGTGGTATGTCTTGAAATCTAAGTTCCACATGTCAGCCAAGGGCCATCGTCGTAAGTTCGTCCCTTCTAAAAATAAACAGTCAAGCCTGCTGTATTAACATCTTTTTACACAGAGAGTAAGTCTGAGTGTTTTGTTTATTGTTTTGCTTTTTTAAACAGTATTGCTTACTCTTGAATGATAACTTTAAGGAAGAATGAATTTCTCTCATAGCAGACCTTTTAGCTCTGTCCTAAGTAAGAGCATGATGTGAAAGGGCCACTGGATGAGAGGAGCATATCCTTTAAAACTTTGCAGTGTGTTAGAACTAGAAGACTTGGCTGTCTTTAGGATAGACATTAATATCCTGGATACAGTCACTGCAGAAATCTTCTTTCATTCTAGGTGAATTTACCCATGAGATGCAAGTCAGGATTCGACAGGAAATGGAGAAGGAAAAGAAGGTGGAACAATGGAAAGAAAAGTTCTTTGAAGACTACTATGGACAGAGGTAAGGCATTTGATCCTGTGAGCTCTGTTGTGGGCATTTGAGGAGATAGAGGTAGTTGGCCTTGCATATCCGTAAGTTTTTGCATCCACAGCTTCAAACAAACATGGTTTGAAAACATCAGGAGAAAAATTGCATCTCTCTTGAACATGTACAGATTTTTCCTTTGTTATTATTCCCTAAAAAACACAATGTAACAACTGGTTACATTGTGTTAGGTACCATAAATAAGATGAAAGTGATTTAAAGTACAGTAATTCCTGACTTACAAACGAATGAGTTCCATTCCAAGAAACCGCTTGTAAGTCTGATTTGTCCATATCTGACAAAGTGAGTCTTAAACAGTACACCTGTGAATGTTTGCAACTCTAATGTTTTTAAGTTTAGGACTTAACTGTATACAGGAAGAGGGCTGGGGATATAGCTCAGTGGTGGAGTGCTTGTCTGGCATGCATGCTGCCGGTGGTGGAGTTCCAGCTCCACCACTGCAAAGGTAAATATACAGGATAATTTACATAAGCTAGATGCAAATATTAAGCCATTTCATGTAAGGAATTTGACAATGTGTGGATTAAGGCTTCCACTGGCAGTCCTGGAGTGAGTTCTCTGTGTATACCAAGAGATAACTGGAGTACATACTTCTGTGTTGGATGAGAATGTGGAGATTGCAGTTACTTGGGTCATGTAGCTTAACATCATTCAGTGAAACTAGTACATGTTTTGCTTTAGTTTTTTTTTTTTTTTTTTTTTTTTTTTTTT